GTAGGACCTGAGCCGTTCTGCGGTATCAGCAGTAACATAATATTAGGAGGGATTAAAAAATAATTGGGCAGTAGAAGAACTGATAATTGGAACAATCTCTTGGGGCTGAGACAGGACAAGACACTTCTGGGTGATTATAACCAGAAAAGATCGAAAGCCTGCATCTGTCTGAGCAAGAACAATCTACGTATTGTAACAGGGATCCTTACCTAAATAAACTGAGAGTAGTAGAGGATAGTGAGTGCAGATTCCGTGAGGTGGAGGACGAAACCTCCATTCACATCCTTACTAAATGTGTAGCTCTCCAGAATCCAAGGGCACTATATCTAGGAGGATATCAAATAGAAGAGGGAGATTTACCTAACTTGAAGCCACTTCAAATCCTACATTTCCTTAAGAAAATAGGATTGGAAGGGTCGTTATAGGCATTGAGACATTAACTTAGTGCACTGGCGACAGAAGGGGGCACAATAGATCTTTTAGGTCGCAGTGTATTAACATCCCATTCCCAACATAACATAACATAAGGGGGGTAAAGGATGTGTATTTTATTCTCCCAGTTAGAAGCGCCCCGCTATAGGCTTTAGTCTTTAGTGGCCTCTTCAGCCGCAGTGGAGAGATCTTGGATTAGGTGTGAGGGAATGGATTGGAAGGAATGGTGGTAGGTATCTAAGAAGATGTTACTGATCCAGTATTTGCTTCTTGCTATGAGCAACCCCTGAAAAACTTATAACAAGCCAGGAGGCAGTGGAGCTCGAACCCACGACGTTCCGAATAGTACCAACCTACTAAACCCAAGAGCGGCTCCAGGAGGGGCCATGCCATGCTATTTTATGTACAGAATATCTACAGAATCTTTAAAAAGTATTAATGTCTCGGTAATAAATGTATTGCAATTATATAAAATTAATTGCATTTTACAGGGTTTTTAAGAAATATAGGTATCGATTTTCGTCATATTTGGAATCAATCTGTATACATCATTTTTGTAGGACGAGTTTTTTAATTCAACAATTACAATCGTACTGTAACATTTTATTTTTGTCGAATTACAATTTCTGAATTTTTAAAAACATCACAATTGCGCACCGCCCTGTATGTGTGAAGATGTTAATCAACATATAATTACAAGATCAAATGAATTTACCTAAGTGATGTTCGATCTTGATTATATGAAGCCTCGTCGAAATAAATAATTAATAATTGTAGTTCCCTCACTCTTGCACTGAATCACATGTTAAAAGCTAAAACCTGAAATTCTTGGGTGACTAATACCCAATTTCACAATTCATTTCTTTAGAGTTTTCTTAGAGACAAAAAAAATTTGCTATATCCAAGGGGTGTTTTAGGATGTGGCGGGAAATTATTTATTTCGACGAGGCTTCATATAATCAAGATCGAACTTCACTTAAGTAAGTTCGTTTGATCTTGTAATTATATCTCAGCCTCATCTCATAAATAATTAATATTTGTAGATGTTTGCAGAATAAGCAAATTTTATTTTCTCTGGAAATATAACAAATTATTTATATAAACTATAAATATAAGTAAATAATAAAAAGTAAATAAACATATCTCTAATTAAACCTCAAAGCCTTAAAACTAATACAGACATTATTTATACTATTTTATAGTTAATACAGATCTATAAAAAATGCAATCTTGTAGAATAATAGAAATTTTGCAAAAGTATTTGATTTTTCTCTCCATCCTGCACGTCTAAACTAAACTCTTTTTTAGCTGCTGAGGATGTAGTCGCGATGAAAATAAGGATTCCACTTTTATTGAGCATTGATTTTGTCTGACGGCTAATGGTTTGGACTGAAGCTTATGATGCGATTTTTTATATGTATTTAACAAATTATCACAAAATTGACCTATTAAAGGTGCCGTTCTTTCTAAATAATCCGACAGAGTAGTAGCGACACAGAGACTTTTCTCTTGCTCAAAATATGAGAATTGAGGAGTAGGTTGAGATTTATTCGGACCAGATGTTTTTATTCGTTTGCAAACTTTTTTAATAATATCTGCCTTATTTTTTATAATTTCATTTAATTCAATACCAGCTAATGTTTGAACTCATTGTCCCATAGCCAGAGCTAAAGAATAGCGAATTTAGGCGTATAAGGTCCTCCAAAGACAAATTATTTTTCTATCTGTATCTGTAACGTGTGGAGGGTGAGTTACCCCAACGGCACTTAGGCCTCATTAGGCCCATTGTTCATCCTCCTAAGATGATAGGCACCTCCTATCCCAAGCATTTAATTATTTATGTTATCACAAACATTTATTTATACCTTCACAAGCAGTTATTTATTTATTTTTGAAATTTAATAATCTATGCTATCATAGTATTTATTTATTTGTCTTTTTATTAATTTTTGATATCACAATAATTTATTTTTGCTATTCCCTGCATTTATTGTTACTTACTTATGCCATCACAAGCATTATGCTATCACAAGCAATTATTTATGCTATCCCAAGCATTTACTAATGCTATCACAAGCATTTATTTATGCTGTCACAAGCATTCATTTATATATACTATCATAAGCATTAATTGTGCAATCACAAACATATATTACAGTATATTCTATGAAGATCAAAAAGAAATGCCTATTGTAAAACCGCTTACCTATAACAATTTCCCCGTATTCACTATATGTATCACGTGATGAGGATGGCACGTCTCTCCAATCTACTTGTTTTGTATCACTGTAAATTGTTTAATTTCTTTTTTAACCCCTTAATTTATTATTTTTTTATTTTTAGGCATTTTTTACTCAAATTGGCAACTTAGGGGGTTATGATTGACAGCTTGTGTTATTTTTAACAGGTCTGTTATTTTATAAACACATAGAAATAACAACCTGTTCACAAATAACGTGTCTGTTAAAATAACATTACTTGTCCATCATAACCCCTTTCAAATCCCTAAAATTGTAAATCGATGTTAATGATTGGCGTAGCGACTGATAAGGGTATTAGTCACCCAAGAATTTCAGGTTTTAGCTTTTAACGTGTGATTCAGTGGGAGAACTACAATTATTATTAATTATTTATGAGACGTCGCTGAAATATAATATGTAAGTTTACATTACATTAGAACATATGAACGGTACAAGCAACCAAAAATATTAATTCATTCTTTTACTTTAAAGTCATACAAGGAAACAAAAATATGAGAAAATGAAAGATTTTGTATATGTGGAGGAAACGAAAATATGTTTATTACTACTAAATTAGTTAAATCGATTCTAACAAATTGTAATGTTACAAATAATCCACTTAGTATAGTTAAAATTTCAAATTACACTTAAGTACTTAATGATTACTCAACGTTTATAACCGTTGCAGGTTCTCGTTTCACATGATTCATGATCAGTGAAATAATTGTTATACACTTATAGATCAGGTAATAGCTTTCTACAAATATGTGTGTAAATATTTTTATTCCCATGTTGCTTATTTACAACACCGATCCCCTGATTCACTGCTATCTAGATATGTTTTATTTGTTCACGGATATGGATAAACGCCAAGATCATCATCCAACGGCGTACACTACACAATCATTTTTTTTTATATTTTCGTTAATTTTTATTCACAGTGGTCCCCAATTTTTATTTAAATCTTATTATAGTAGTAGGAAATCTGATACCCTTTTTAAGCATAAAAACATTTAAAATAATAAAATTTTATAATAGATAATAATCAACCGTTATAAAAATACTTAAATAATATATTAAAACTTTTATAACGAATATTTTAAAATACCTGTAAGGTTAAATTAAAAAGCTTACACTGGCTATCGATCAAATACCAAGCTAAAAAAGAATCCAGTAACCAGATATTAGAAAAATTGATTGTTCAAATAAATAAAAATACCACTTCAAATTATTTTCATTAACCATCCTGCAGCGCTAACTCGAGCTTTCGCTATGTCCGTTTTCGGAAATCCAAAATACTTTGTTGATTCTCTTTTGTTTTTCAAGAATTTACAGCCAAGCAATCACACCCCCTAAAATAGTACATTTTAATATTGTATTAAAATAATTTAAATACCATCCAAAAAATTATTTAAGACAAATTAGTGTTTAAGAAAAAAACAATTTAAATACATAATTAGCATTATTATGATGAACATTTCTCACAGTAAGGCTCAAACTTTGTTTTATCTAAAGTCCCACATTTGTATTATTTTGCCGATATTATTGTACTAATTGTATTGTAATATTCATTTAAAAAAAGTTATTTGCTAAAATTAATGTTACTACTACTGTAGCATTTGGAAAAAAGAAACAATTAACAGCAAACTGTAATGTAAACGTATCGCATTACATAATAGGAGTAATTGAAATTTAATATGCCCAGTGGTGGCGCTACTGAGAATAAGTGTGGGAAAGCGTATGGGGGAGTCAAGATGAGTTTACCTGTGCCTCTGCCCTGTGCCTTGTGCCTGTGCCGAGTACACTAAAAGTGCAGGTAAAATTTTGAATAATAAATGTAGGTGTACAGATTCGCTAAAGCAGCATCTGTTGGTTCGGTTCCCAGGGATATATAAGACATGTGTTTTGCAGATTTTTTAAGGAAATTTTCGAAAGCAGGTGTTGAATTCAGGGTGCATTTTGTTTGGTGCGAGTGTATTCTTATCGCATTGCCAAAAAACAAAAAGTTGAAAAACACGGCTGGCTGTTCTCCGTTCAGGCCAAAAATATATAAGTATTCTACACTTCCACTTATATAATACAATGTACAAATATTAAATTAGACTTATTTGTATGTACCTACACATAATATTAATTATCAAACTTTATACGTTGGTTCATTCAAATGCTGTATTTAAATACATTGGATAAATCACTGTTAATAAACTATTAGTATATTATTATAAAAAGATTAATAAAATATAATGTGCTGTGCCGTATCGAAATCTTAGACTATGTTGAGACCAAAATATAGTTTTTTCTTTATTAGGTACCATAAAAAAAACTTACCTAACTTTAAATAAGTACAGCGCTGATGTTTATCCCACCGATGTATCTTTGAAATATTTTTGGAGTATGTCTTGAATTCCATTGTCAAAAATATATCTATACCTGCAATGATAAAAAATAGCATTAGTTTTTATTTGAAATAATTGATAATAATTATGCTAAAATATATAGAAACAAAAATCACATTTCAATATTTACGTCTTTAATTTAAAAATGTTCAGCCCGGTATATCTACATATAATAAAAATAATACATTACAAATATTTCATTAGTCGTCTGGCAGTGTATTTGAAGATGACAAATGATTTTACATTGTCAATAGATAGGTTTTTAAATCCACCTGTTGGTTTACCAGATGGCATCTGCATCTTTTCTATTCTTATTGCTTTGTGGAAGGCCATGGGAAACAACATTTCGCGTATGCAGGAACTTTAGATTATACAGAGGAAGTGGGCTAATTTTAAAATTTCTGGAAGTAAAACTATACTGTTTTCGCCTTAATTTTTAACAACAACGTGTTCTAAATTGGGTCATTATAACTCATTTGGGTAGGGTCTGAATTTTTAGGCACTTCTGCAATGATCACATTTTTTGTAATGTATGTATTTAAATATAAAACAATTTTATAATAAATAAAGTATTTGCGATTATTGCAATCTGATCATTAAGATCAATTAGCAATTTTATTCTAACCTAACTTATCTAGCGATGAAATAGTTCATAAATTAAGATTACAGAACTGAAATTAGGAGAATAGATTTGATGTCAATTCTTGCTCAAAATTTACGTTCCGTTAAGGAGATTCAAAATCGAGGTTTCAGTTTGCGCAGTGGGTATCTGTTAGACATGTCAATTGTCATTTGTGAAAGTGATTTAAAAATAAATGTTAATTTTATTCATTTAAAAACAATTTTTGGGACGATTAACCGCGTATTGTACAACCCGCCGTTAGTTTTTTCTGAAAACATTGTTATATATGTTTTTTCAAATTATGACCTTGTTTGGCACCTACTGCGCAAACTCAAAAAACCTCAATTTTATTCCCCTTGTAGGAACGTTTTTGTAAACTGTCAAATCCATTCTCCTAATTTCAGTTCTGTGATTAAGATTCTACTCACTAGGGCACCTTAGAGTCTAATTATTTAGTTATACTACCGTTAACGTATAACACTAAACCGTACTATACTCTGCGTTTATCTAACATCACTGAACTAACTCAAAAGGCTTGATTTTCTTGAGTCTTTATATTAGATTGGCATTGTTGAAGAGCTGGATAACCGCAACGTTCCCATGTTGAAGCAGTCGTTGTTGGTGACTACTGGCAATTTTTTTTATTGTACTTTCAATATTTTCCACTTTAAGCTCCCTATGAAGATCAGTATTGCGGCATTACCAGGGTGCATCGACTATGTTCCTTAATACTTTATTCTGAAAACGTTGAATAACTTGGATGTTGCTTTTACTAGCACAGTCTTAAAACTGGACATAACATAGGTCCATACGAGTTTCAATATATGCCTGTAAAGAAGCAGTTTGTTGTATGTGGATAATTTGGAATTTTTTCCTAGCAACCAATACATTCTTTCGTATTTGATACTAAGCTTTTCGCGTTTCTTTTTAATATTGACTTTCCAGCGAAGTCTAGCATCAAGTGTTATACCTAGGTATTTTGCAGTATTAGCAAAAGGAATCTGACTATCGTTTATTCTAATAATATTCATTGTGTTTATTGTCCAGGTGTTAATCTGGTGTATAGAATTTTGCAATTTTTTCAACAGCAAAGATTGAAGTATCATTACCAAATGTTGCGATAGTATTGAACTCAAGATTAGGAATATCTCTGGTATCTATCAAGTAGAGTATTGAACTTAGTACACTACCTTGAGATACTCCTGCTCTAATTTCTCTTAGGTTGGAATAGGAGTATTGAAGTGACTCGAACATGTTCAGTTTTTGAATCAGGCCCTTATGCCATACTTTGTCGAAAGCCTTTAACCACATCCAAAAAGACGGTGGAGCAAACTGTTTTTCTTCTAGGGACTTCTGGATGATATCTGTGATTCTGTGAACTTGGTCGATGGTCGAATGTTTTTCTCTGAAACCAAACTGGTGGGAGGTATTCGGTTCTTTTCTTTTATTATCCTTTTCAATCTCTTAATAAGCATTTTTTCAAAGAGTTTCGAGATAACAGGTAACAATGAGATAGGTATGTATGATGTAACTTCGTGGGAAAGTTTACTTGGCTTAGGTATCATTATAACTTCTGCCACCTTCGACATCTTTAATTCATACTTTAGTCTAAAGGACGCAAGATTGGTCATTTGGCCCTTGGAAGCATTTTAAAAATGTTCTCAGTAATGTGGTCAAATCAAGGGGCTATTTTCGGATTTATATTTGTTTGGATTTCCATATAAACTTCTTTTGGAAAGTTAGTTTTAACGTCTGTGTCTTCTTGTGCTAGTTCCATCTAGTCTTGAAGATCTTCACCATTATTGGGTTGGAAGGTCTCCTTCAACTATGAATATGTATCCTTTAGCTATCCAGAAAGTCAACGTATTGATGCTTCTTTATAACATGTCTTGGCAAGCTATATAAAGCTGTGGTCACAATTTCATAAGTTTTTATTTTAATATTAACAGATATGGCCTGTATTTCTACTGTTTGGTAACCCATTTCTTGATAGTGTAAAATGGATTCCTTAATTATAACTGCACTTTTGCCGCATTATCTGGATGGTACACTTTATATCCTTTAAATTTGATGAACAACTCTTTTTTAAAATGTGTCTCAGCAATCAGACAAACAACAATTATTTTCTAATTCTAGAACTGTTTGCAGCTCTTGTTGATGCTGCAGCAGTCCATTTGCGTTCCATTAAAAAATTCTAAGATGATGGGGCATTCTTAGCTTTTGGGTTCGCTCCTTAAACACAATGTTCCAAATTTGAAATACGTTCATCCATCTTGTCCAGTCTATCTAAAATTGTTTGGAGCATTTCATCAATATTTTTTGTGACTTGTTGAACTGGCTGTTAAATATATGGTTTTTTCCTCACGTTTCCTTCATCTGCTTGGCTATATTATGTTTTGCTTTCATTATCTACTATTTGATGTCTCATTTTTATTATTACAACATATATAAATGGAGGAAATAGTTCCAAATTCTCAAATGTGACCAATTAAAAAATAAATATCAAAGGAAAAGAGAACATCTCTAAGTCCGTGTCACAGCAAAGTCGAGCGACCGTTTCCCTTCTAAAAACAACTACTCCCTTGGCTAATTCCGCAACAGACATTGCATTATATCAAGATTAAATGATCAGAGATAGAAAATCATTTTCAACACGCTAGCTCTGATTCTGCGTCCTAAGGAGAAAGTTATACTTGGACTAGTTTCGTCCTTATTAGGACAATCTCGACTTCAGTCTATTAAAGATGGTTAAGAAAGCGTAGGTAGTGATAAATGCTCGTTTTGGCTATTATTCCGCCTTATTCTAGGGAACTATAGGTACTACAGCAAGCTTTGATTTTGCTTCCTAAATGTAGATGGCGTTACCATTGTTTACTCGTTCACTAACGTATGTTTCTTTCATAAAAAACAATTATAGGTTGGGTCTGTCAAATTTCAATATAAACCTTTTTGTAGTCTTATGAACGTATAAAACATTTATTACGAGTTTAATAGGAATATTTAATTCTTACAAATTGAAAATTTTAGAATCTTTATTGAATTACAAATTTACCCGCTATAATTTGTCCAAATCTACCAATTCATGGCATAGCCTATATCCTATTTATTAAATATTGTTACGCAGGTTTTTGGTATCACAATTTATTTCAACTCAACTTTAACAACAATTATACAACTGATAACATTAACATGTAACGTCTATGATCAAACTTCCTACTGACGTCAGGATCATCGGCTTATATAGCTTGCTTGATCCTTCGCGAACCTTCTCGAAAATGCCTAGAATTTTCTTGACAAATAATGACGTTTCCCGATATTTCTGGAATATTCTATCTTCTTTTACTTGTACTTTTACTTATGACGACCACACCACACTGTAGGGCAATGAGTAACATTCCACTTCTTTTTCTATCTGTACGTTTCGTATAATAGCCGCAGGCTACTGCAGAGTGCTGCGTAACAATATTAAAGAGAAGTGGTAGAATACCATTCTGGTCTTCTACTTAAATTCTGATTTAAAATTCATTTTACTAAATTCAAATTCTTCTAATTTCATCATTTAGAACTATCATTGTCATAGGGTTTCGAGTTTCGATTGGATAATATTGAAAAATAAAATGTATCTTAAAATAGAATTATTATTATTATTTTCATTCACATTCCGGAAACTTTCAGCCCATCACCGTATCAAAATATCTTCATAGCTTGCAATTAAAGCAAGGATCCAAAGATGGCAAGTGACACTTAAATTTTATTTCATTCTCATTAGAGAAATGGAAGCTTAACAACTTGTTTAATTGTTGCCATTTATGAGAAGGTTGTGCAAATGTACCTTTTAAATGTTCGTTATTTTCCAATTTTCATTAATTAGTATAAGTTTATGTCCTATTGATATTTTAAATATTTTATTGACGTGATCGATCTTATATATATTTCTCCTTGTATACGACTAATTAAAAAATATTTTTAGCTAATAATTGTGTCTCGTAAAATATAGTAGTTATTTTTTAATCATCGGAATGACAGCGATCTAGAAATTATATGCTGGATGTGCTTAATTACATTTAAACCACTGAGAGAACAGTTGTTTTGATCGAGGTTTTTTCATAATAATTATTATAATCCTCTTACAGAGGAAGGTTGAGGTTTCTGGCCTGGTCAGAACGCCTTAAGTCTAAATTATTCAGCAATAAAAAATTCGCGACTATTAATAGAATCTTTTTAAATAAAATACACAACAAAAGAAGGTAATAATATATTGGTTAAAGGTCCTAAAACTGAAATACTTTTAAGCATTTCTATATTTCTATTTCATAGGAGGTTTCATTTCAATTCATGTAATATTGCTAATAATAGAAATTAGAATCTACTTATTATTTTTTGGTTGTATCGAGCTGCCTCGAAATTCGAAA